TATTCATCCTCTAAACAAGAACAGCCTGCACAGCTCTTCCTTGGGCTACAGCTGGGATTGCTCATGTCACGCACGAGGCGATGCCTCTGAGCAGGCAGGCCCTGAGCTATTGTGGAGTTAGTATTGAATAAGCACTCACAAAGAGTGCTCTGTCTTCTCCTCAAGGGATGATACCTGTGGTATTGCCACTAGTGAAGACTGGAAGAGCACTAAAATATGGTCAGAATGTAACAGCCAACTTGCTTCCATGTTCTAGGGAAAATGCAGGTATTTCCTGCCTGCCACTGCTGACCTGCCTGTGCTTCCATTTCAGTGACAGTATCCAGTGAATGCTCATTCAAAACCAATGCTCTTTAATCTTGGTCTCTACAGACCATCAAAGGAGAAACAAAGGGCACAGACACACAGCTGAGTTTTTGTCTCTCAGCTGAATCATGGCAACTCAGGGTTAAAATTGCCAATTTAAACTCTTTAACCAGGACTTCAATGAACACATTTAATTTCACCTCTGCTAAAACTGGGCTCATGCTGGGCTGAGGTTCACCTGTTTGTTTATTTGCACTGACCTGCTTGTCTCGCTGACTGTGCAAGTGACTCATCTGACGTTGTCCTTTAGACCAGAGCAGACCCAGGAACAGAAGCTTTCCTGATTGTCAGAACACTGACTTTTGTATTAGACCACGACCAGAGTTACTGCCTAATCCAATAGTCAGGATTCCTCAGGGACTTGGCAGTCGTTCCGGCTCCTCTGGCCTGCTCTGCTTGTCTAAAAGATGAGGTGCTGTACAAACTCCCTGTGTTACTGTGAAGAAAAGGGATTGATTCAGTCAAACACTGTCCTTTGACTGAGGCATTTAGTTCACTTCTCAGTTGCTTCAGAGACTTAAAACACAGAGGCTGATAAAAGCCTCAGGGACAAGTGTCTCCAATGCATTTCAGGCCACTTTAAACAGAAATGTAAATGCTCACACATGCACTGATGTGCCTTGCAGGATTTTTAAAGCTACCATGGCACCTAAATCCTTTCAAATCTGATTATTTGCCACTTCTGCTCCCAGCTGATACACAGGACACACACACACATAAATACTGGGGTATCCAATTAACGAAGGTTTGGAACCCGTCAGTCAAGTTTGGAGAGGTGTGGAAACAGACTTAAACAAGCTTCATATTCATTTCTTCGAGTTGCACGTTAGATATTTTTAATTATATCATGTTATTAAAGATGTTTTAATAGACTGTCTGTGTTATTCTTGGCAAGGGATCAAAGCAGGGGGGTTACTGTGAACACAGAGTGTTTCAGTGAGCGGGATGGGGGGTGCTGATTTGGCCTGTTTACTCCAGAGCTGTTTTGCTGTATTTTGGGGGTACAATGGGAACACCTGAAGGCACAGTGAAAGAAAATGACTTCAGATAACCTGGCTGCTGGTATTTAGTTGGTGGGAGACGTGCCTACACCTTTTGATGTGTTCTTTGCTCAAACCTTCTGAAGAATGTAGGAAGGATCTAGGCAAGCCTGGGTAGAGAGAAGTGGGGAAATTCCTGAGACTTCATTCATCCCACACCTGGAAATGCAATCACTAAACAGAACTCTGGCTCTGTGACCTGTCAGCACAGAGGTGAGCTCTGGGATTCCTGGTTGACATTTGGAACCTGCCCAAAAAGAATCCTACCACTGTCAGACATGGAAACAAGCCAGTGAGATGCCAGGAGCCCCAGGTGCTCTGGCCTGTCAGTCATTGCACTTTCTTCATTTTTAATAGATCACAGGGTCCAAGAGAAACACAGCAATGGCTGGAACTTCCCTGAGCTCTTGTTTAGAAGCTCTGGGACTTCCATGCAGATAAGTGAGCAATCAGGCAAGGAGCTCAGCATGGCCTCCTGACTCTTCACTTTTGCCTTGCACGTGCCACTGAGCTGTGCCTGTGAAACCCCTGGCACTGCCATGAGAAAACAACCCACAACCACTCGATTCTTTTCCTGCCAGATAAAAACATTTATAGATGTATTTACTAGGTGATAAAATAGATTAGGATTTTAAAACTGCAGTGTGGTTTTAGTTATTAAAAAAAAAGGCAAAAAAATAACAAAACAGGGAATCTATGAGAAAAATGGAAAATATTCAAAGTATCATATTCCTTTCTCCCAGCTCTCTGTAGAGCAGCTCCTTCCTGTCAGCACTACATAAGTTTGCAGAATTAATCCCTAGATTACACAGAACAGCAGAAATCTACTTAAAAGGAGGTTCTAGATGAACTAACTCACTTTGAAACAAAGATGCTTGCAGGCCTTTGTTTAGAATTCAATTGTGGAAATGATAAATAATGAGGATTTTCTATCTGTCCATAAGTTCTTTATGTTTATACATAGGTCCCTTGCTTCTCACTCAGGCTGAACCCTGGGAGAGGCCTTCTGGCAGATAATTTCTGCTCATGTGCAACTGCAGTTCTGCTGCTCTCAGCAACTGTCAGTAAGAAGGAAATCAAAGGTATTAGATACAAAAATTGACACCAGAAAGCACTTTCTCTGTTTTAGCTCCAGACACACAACAGGTTGGCTGGCCTGGCTATTGGGGCCTAAATGTCATTTAGGCATGTTTGTAGGAATACATTTGCTCCTGTTGTTCTATACCATTCCCAAAGCACCATGGATTCTCAACCAGCACATCCCATCTGGGTTGTACCAATGAATTCCCATGAAAACTGAGAGAAATAACAGTTGGTTGCCTGCAGTCCCACTCTGTTGTACCAAGTTCATCCCCACAGGATCTGAGTTGTTTCTTTCTTCCAGGAGAGACCCAGCCCTTGAAATCCACAACCACTTAGAGGGGTAGATCCAGCAGCAGATGAGAGGAATGCCTTTTAGGATGGCTGGAATTAGTATATTTTCATGTTGTTCTTATACCGTGCTTATGATCACATATCTGAGTATCTTTCCAGAGAAATAGGAAGCCATATGATGTTTATATCCTACCTCATGGACTGTCACTCCTACTTGAGGAGCTAATTCTGAACACACTGAAGAGGAACAAGCCCGAAGGAACACTGGGATCAGCAAACCTGCAATTTTTGCCACAGCTTTCTTCACATAAAAGTCCTCTCACACAGCCATCAAACCCAGGCAAGCCACAGTGCTTTGATGTTCTGTAGGTGTTTGTACAGCAGTGACCAGGTTTCCACCATGCCCTCCATGTGAGCTGCTCACAGCCTTCCTGCAGTCAGAGGCTGTCAGATGAACACAGAACACAAACTGCTGCTCCCGGAGTTGAGTGCAATGCCAGGGATCAGTCAGGAGAGGGAGGCTGCCAGGGCAGCCTTAGGAAATCTCCAACAGAGCCAGGAGCTGCTCCCACCACAAATCACATCATTTAGCAAGCAGGCATTTCTGGGAACGTGTCAAGGAGACTCCTGATGTGGATGCAGGGGAAAGACACTGCAGTAGGAAGCTCTCTCTATGTGTGGGATGTGAAAGCAGCTCTAACCAGTGATTTAAGGAGCTGTGGCACTGGAAGAATTCCCCTATGCAGGGAGACAGGCACTTGCATGGAGTAGGGATGAAGGCTCTTTTGGAAACAAGGGGGAGAAATAACAATTCCTCCAGGAAGAAGACTGGCCTGGGAATGAAGAGGAGGCTTGAGAGAGACAGAGCAATGATAAAATCAACTTTTGTGTGAAGGAAAGCTTATTTTTGTTCACAGCAGAGGTGTCACCATATGTGCACCTCATGATCGAGTTAGTCACCACTTCTTGGTGGAAATTCTCAGGAGAAACAGATTTTCCAAGTGAAAGAAGGCAACAGTTTTTGGGCTTATCAGTGGACAATGAACAGCAGCAGAGCTGTGGAACCTTCACGGGAACCGCGTTCAAAGTTCACTGGTTTTGAACAAGGATGTGCAAATGCAAAATCAATGCTGAACTTTAAACCACTCAAAATCTGGTTTAACTTTACCTTCTGTCTCACAGTATCACTGACAATATTAAACACTCCTGGAGTGCAAGCTTTGAAGGGACAGGCTCATAGCCTTCTGAGCAGAGGAGCTCAGTGGAAACCATCAAACCAAATGGAAAGAGCTCTTCTTCCACAGAGCTCGTGGTTAAACCTCATCAGGACAGGAGGTTGTTTATGCCAAAAGTTTACACGGCTGCAAAAGGTGATTAGATAAATTCATAATAACCCATTAGGGCTATTAAATAAAAAGTTACTTGCTTGTGGCTAAAGAATTGCCTGAACCACCTGCCACATCCAGATCTGTTTGCTCTGTTCTTTGGTAACTGCTGCAGATCATGAGAGACAAGATACTGGTCTGGGTGGGCCTGTGGATTGATCCCATCCAGCCCTTCTGATTTCTCTCAAGCAGGAATCCCACAACTGCACTCCTCACTCACCAGTCTCTGGAAGCAGCCCCTCACTTCAAGGAACTTTGGTCTCTCAGCAGCATAATTTCTAAAAAACAAGATTGTTTATCCTTAGAAGTAACAATCAGAAACACTAGAATGAGAAAACATCTGCACATACCCACGTCCCACTTCAGCATTACCATAAACCTGGAATGACCCCAACACCAGCAGCTCCCACACACCCTAGTCCTGCAGTGTCCCTCCCTGGAACTCAGGGCCTCATGATTTTACCTACAGAACCAGAATTAGTTCTGTGATTTCTGTTTGGGCTCCTGCAAGCCCAGGTACAGGCTCAGCTCAGACTAGGTGCTGTTTCAGACACAGACTTCTATCTTGCTGGTTAAGCACCAAGAGCAGACTGACAGCTGCTGCCTGCCTGCCTGCTGAGGGGAGGGATCAGCTCAATACTCATTCAGAGAACACTGGTTCAGCAAAAGGGGAAGGTAATATTCAAAAGTTAAAAGAAAGTCCCTCCCCACTCCCCTCAAACCAGTTGTATTTACAGTAAAATCTGTTTCCAAGAAAAAAAGTAGTAAAAATAGTTACAAAACCAAACCAAACAATTACAATAAAAAGTAAAAGAACCCTCAATGAAACAGAAAGGCAAGTTCCAAGTCAGCTTTAACTTCATTATCATGTTTTTCTACGGGTAATACCCAGAGTCTTTGGCCTCATAACAGTGGCCCCCGATGTTTTCTAGTACCCTGTTACAGCATTAATTGATGCAGCAAACTTACAGCTGGGAAGTGTAGAAGCCCCCAAATGAGGTGAAACCCCCTTGCTCGTTGCTCGCAGTGGTTTGGAGAGCTTTCAAAGAAATCAAATACCAGCTAAGACAGATGTCTTCAGTGAAAACACGATGTGGGAACCACCTTGCTTGAGCTATTCCCTTCTCTGCCCTCCCATTTGCTTTCCAACGTTCCCCACTCCACCCAGCTGCAGCCTCTCCACCAAACCAGCGACCATCACAAACACACTTCAGCATTTGGCTCAGGCAGGACCAGGGAACGTGCAACTTTTTCTCCTAGAATATGCCCAGTGCTCAGAGGTTCATGCAGAGGTTTGCCTTGGGAGGAATGCTTCATGTGAGCCAAGGTTCTGGCACAGACCTGCTGTGGCACTTGCCAGCTCACCTTCTGGCACGCGCTAATTGGTGCTACAGTGTTAGAAGTCACAGGGCTGAGATGGTCGGCAGCTCCAGCAGCTCTCTGTGGAGATTCCTGGCTCAGACTCCTGTGTTCCTTCTCACAGAGAGCTTAAAAGTACTGGCATTTTTTTTTTAAATGCAAAAAAATTTAAGATAGAATTGTCATTTCCTGTGGATGTGCACGTAGCTAAGAACAGAAGTACTCACTGGCTGGGCTAGAATTAGCAAAAATAAATGTTGCACAAATAATTGGAAATGTCTCCTATCCCACAGATATTCAGGTGGCTGAATCTCCCAGGGAAACCTGTGGAAGCTCAAAATTTAACCATCCACAGGGTCCTACCCCTCTCTGCAGGAGAGATCCTGCTGGTGTTCTGGAGACAGGTATTGGAGCCTTAACTGAGCAGAGCGTTCCCACTCTCACACTGCCTCTGGGAATGCTTGGGGTGACAAACATTGCTCACTCCACACATTACAGAGCAGCTTCCCAAACATGAAAGGCAGCACTGGCTGAGGCACAGGCTGTGGGAAGCACAAAGGCTCAGGATTGCTAAGGAAGTGAGGAAATAGATGGCACTGATGTGCAGGCCTTTGCTTTCTGGCCCTGGCAGAAAAAAACCCCAACTGTATCTGCATTAAATCCAGCAGCACCTGCACCAGGAAACATCATCCGAGCCCTGCAGTGGCTCCCCTGCTCCATTTTAGGGAGGGTTTTCCAGGGCTTCCTGAATGCACACATTTATGAACGCTGTGCTGAGCACACCTGATGAGAATTGATGCTGAATGTACTTTCCTGGAGAGCACGACACAGGCAAGGCATTCTACATTCCCTGCCTTTAATCAGAAAGAAGACTGTATTCCTTTTGTGCACTGCTCTGAAGAGATGGCATCACATCCTGGAGGAAAAGCTGTCTTTACTGATTAGTACAGCCTTGTATGAAATCTTGAGCAAGTCCTGCCCAGATTTATCCTGGCTGCCTCTGATACTTAAATGATGCTGCAGTTTTTGGAATTGGTCACATCAAACACCATTACAGAGAACAGAAATGTGTTGTCAGTGGTGCTGAGCTGGGGTGGGCCAAGGCAACGCTTTCACCGATTCCAGTGTGAAGACAGCCCAGAGTTTGCTATTCAATCAATGCCTGTAATTAGTGGATAAATCTGGACCCTAATGGCTCTGCATTACTCAGCTATCTCAAAGGAAACTGCATAAACCTCCTGCATTCTGGTTTCAGATGTGAAGGATGAGCTGTGTGTGTCTCCCTGGGCACCTCTGAGGCTGACACAGGTCTGTCCCAGGATCCTCTCAGGTTCCTGATGCTCTGGGGCTCCTCTCAGGGTCTCCGGGGCTGCTCCAAGAGTTCCTGGACTCCTTCCAGCACCTCTGTGGGAATACGATGTTTATATGCCAGAAACATCGATCACCATAACCTTTATATTAAGCCAACTACCAGAGGCTATTCAACCTCCACAGGGCTGTTCTTCTCCAGCCACCTCCTCGCCTGATGCAGGCACAGGATTGGATTATTGTTATCCAGGCACAGATCCCAGGATATGTGTACAAGGCACAACATCTCTGTGTGTCACATGAACGCCCGAGTGACACAGAGCTGGCCTGGTGTGCTCTGTGTGTCGGCAGGATTGAGGTCACTGCTGCCTTTGCCTCAGCCCAACGAGGCAGGAGGGTGAGACTCCCTGGCTTTAGGAGCCTCTTTCAAGTTTTTGCTACAGTGTGAAACAAGAAGAGATGCTGGGACTTGTAGACCCAGCTGGCATCCCGATGAATACATATAACCATAGAAAGGCTCTGCTGAAACAATAATCAAAGTGTGCTTAATAGAAACTGTGACCAATGGACGCACTGGCTGGGCAGGAATGTGCTCACAAAGCTGGGCGGTGGAATAAGGGTCAGAGGAAAGGCAAGGGTGGTTTCTCCAGCCCGGAGTGTTCAGCTGCCTCATGACAGGGCTGCAGCACCCACACGCAGCTCAGGACGGAGGGGCCACCAAGGGGAAGCCTCAGTGAGCAGCACCCACCTCACACAGACCCCCTCACAGGGGCACTCCCCTCACAGCACAGGGGAGCTGGCACTGAACTGCTCAGCCTGGCCCAAGAGCCATCACGGCCCCACAACCTTTCACAGCCCCCCGAGCCCTCACAGCCCCATGGACCTTCATGGCTCCCTCAAAATGCTGGACCCACCGAGCCCTCACAGCACCAGACCACTCATGGCCCCCCAGGCCCTCACAATTCCCTCACAGACCTCCAAGCCCTCACAGCCCCCAAGTCCTTACAGCCTCCCAACCCCTCAGAGCCCCATGGACCTTCATGGCCTCCTCACAACGGCTGGACCCCCTGAGCCCTCACAGTCCCAGAACCCTCAAGGGCCCCCGAGCCCTCGCACTCTCCTCACAGACCCCCAAGTCCTTACAGCCCCGAGCCCTCACAGCAGTCAGACCCCTCAAGCCCTCACACCCCTCCCCCAAAAGCCCTCACAGCCCCAAACCCTCAAGGCCCCCTGAGCCCTCACAGCCCCCAGATCCCCCAAACCCTCACCGTTCTGTCACAGACCCCTAAGCCCTCACAGACCCCTGAGTCCTTACAGCCCTCCAAGCCCCCATATCAGCTGGACCCCCTGAGCCCTCACGCTCCCGTCACAGCTCCCCAAGCCCTCACAGCGCCCTGAACTCTCATAGCCCCTCAAAGACCGCCTTGCCCTCACACTTCCCCTCTCCCTCCCCCTCCATGTCCCGCCCCAGCCCCTTTTCTCGCCTCCCCCCTCCCAGGGCGCGAGCGCGCGAGGTCGCCATGACAACGCCCGCGCGCGCGCGGCCCCGCCGCCCCTCGGGCGGGGCCGCGCGCCAGAAAGTGCTGGAACGCCGCCGCAGCCCGCGCGTGCGCACACGGGGTAGCGCTGTCGCCCCCGCCTCACACACACAACGCCGCTGCGGCGCCCCCGGGGTCGGCGGGAAGCGGGACGGGGAGGGAGAGGAGAACCAATGTGGGCCCGCAGGGAACCCGCCCCTGTCCCGCAGTGAGGAGGAGCCGCCGCCTCCGCTGCGCAAAGCGCGCACACGGCGCCCGCGAAGGAGCGGCTGCGGCGGCCACCGCCCAGCGCCCGCTGCGGAGTCACTGCGACGGTTACCAGGGCACGGCCCCCGCGGCCAATCAGGCGGCGTGAGCTCATCCCCCGGGGCTGCCGGCCAATCGCCTGCGACATCAATCATTCAATTCGGCCAATGGGGAGCGCTTTCAGCGGGCGGGGCGGGCACTCGCAGGCCGCCGTTCCCCCACAGCACAGCCAACAGACAGCGGGGCGGGGCCAACGGGAGCCAACGGCTTGAGTGACAGCTACGCGGCCAACTGGATCGTCTCGCTTGTGGAGCCTCGTTATAAGCAGCCAATCGTTGCTGCGCGTGGACTCCTGGGCGGGAAAAAGGCGGCTGCGCGCGCATTCCGCTGCTATATAAGGGCTGGCGGTTGCCTCACGCAGCCAGAGTCGGTTGGGGGAAGGTTGGGGTCTGTGGGAGCGCTCGTAGCAGCCGCCATCATGAGGGAGATCGTGCACCTGCAGGCCGGGCAGTGCGGCAACCAGATCGGTGCCAAGGTCCGGGCGGGGAGAAGGGGCTTCGGGGGGGAGGGAAGGAGGGGGGCGAGAGGGGCGCGGCTGGCCCGGCGCGGCCGCCCCTGACGCGCTTCTCTCCGGCAGTTCTGGGAGGTGATCAGCGACGAGCACGGCATCGACCCCACCGGCACCTACCACGGGGACAGCGACCTGCAGCTGGAGCGCATCAATGTCTACTACAACGAGGCCACAGGTAGGGCCGGGCCCCTCCCGAGCCGCCCCCCCCCCCCCGGGCTCCCCGCGCCCCCCGGCGCCGCAGTGACGGCTCTCGCTGTGTTCGCAGGCGGCAAGTACGTGCCCCGCGCCGTGCTGGTGGACCTGGAGCCCGGCACCATGGACTCGGTGCGCTCCGGGCCCTTCGGGCAGATATTCAGGCCAGATAACTTCGTGTTCGGTGAGTGCGCGGGGGCGGGAGGAGCCGCGGGGTGGGGCAGGGCCGGGCACTGCGGGGCTGCCCCGCCGCACATGCTCCGAGGGACCGGCCCCGCCGGGGCTTATCCTGGCGTGGAGCACCGGGATTGCGGCTGGGAGCAGCTCCCAGGCGGCACCAGAGGTCGTTGCTCTTTCTCATTCTTGCTACCGCCTCCCTTGCCACACCGAGAGAAATGGAGTGGCTGCTGTATCATTGATAATTAATGTTTTGCCCGTGTCTGCCGAGCCACTGCGGAGGTGCCTGTGTGAAACCACAGCCCTTGCGCTCGATAAGATGAAAGCTTTTTCGTGGAGCCTGATGCTCTTAAGCTTTGCTTGCAAGCAATAAGCAGGAAGCAGTGACCGTAATCTAATACGAAAATGGCTCTTTTCCAGGTCAGAGCGGAGCAGGAAACAACTGGGCAAAGGGCCATTATACGGAAGGTGCTGAATTAGTCGATTCTGTGTTAGATGTTGTAAGGAAGGAGGCAGAAAGCTGCGATTGTCTGCAGGGCTTTCAGCTTACTCACTCCCTGGGTGGTGGCACAGGCTCTGGCATGGGTACCCTTCTCATCAGCAAAATCCGTGAGGAGTACCCAGACCGAATTATGAATACTTTCAGTGTGGTGCCCTCCCCTAAAGTGTCAGATACCGTGGTAGAGCCCTACAACGCCACGCTCTCGGTGCACCAGCTGGTGGAGAACACGGACGAGACGTACTGTATCGATAACGAGGCGCTGTACGACATCTGCTTCAGAACGCTGAAGTTAACGACCCCCACCTACGGGGACCTGAACCACCTCGTGTCGGCCACCATGAGCGGTGTCACCACCTGCCTGCGGTTCCCGGGCCAGCTCAACGCTGACCTGCGGAAGCTGGCGGTGAACATGGTCCCCTTCCCTCGCCTGCACTTTTTCATGCCCGGTTTTGCCCCGCTCACGAGCCGTGGGAGCCAGCAGTACCGGGCTCTCACCGTGCCAGAGCTCACCCAGCAGATGTTCGATGCCAAGAACATGATGGCAGCGTGTGACCCGCGTCACGGCCGCTATCTGACGGTGGCCGCCGTCTTTAGGGGCCGCATGTCCATGAAAGAGGTGGACGAGCAGATGCTCAACGTTCAGAACAAAAATAGCAGCTATTTTGTTGAGTGGATCCCCAATAACGTTAAGACAGCGGTCTGTGACATTCCACCTCGCGGCCTCAAAATGTCTGCCACCTTCATTGGCAACAGCACGGCCATCCAGGAGCTGTTCAAACGCATTTCTGAGCAGTTCACTGCGATGTTCCGCAGAAAGGCCTTCCTGCACTGGTACACGGGCGAGGGCATGGACGAGATGGAGTTCACAGAGGCTGAGAGCAACATGAACGACCTGGTGTCCGAGTACCAGCAGTACCAGGATGCCACGGCCGAGGAGGAGGGGGAGTTTGAGGAGGAGGCTGAGGAGGAGGCAGAGTAAAGCTATGCAGTTGAACACCTGTAAATTTTGTTTAAAGTTGTATGAACTCTCTCTCATTCAAAGGTTCTGTTCGTGTTGTGTTATTATTGCTGTTTCCGAGTCACTCCCAATGCTGTACAGGCACCATTAAAGCAGTTTTCACAGTGCAAAGCCCCGTCTCCTCTGTTCTTTCCGGTAAGCTTCCCGCGTGCCGTTCCCGTAGGTGAGCGAGTACAAGTCCCGGAGGTCTGGAAAAGGAACACGGCGGACTTGGCATGAGCACCCCACGGCAACGCCCCTGCTCTGCTGCCCTCAGCCAGGTGATGTGTCACTGGCATGGTGACAGCCCTGCTGTGGGAACTGGAGAAATTCCCTGGTATTCCCTTGTGATCAGGTACTGCTGGAGGGGGGACACACAGACACAGAGGGTGGAATTGGCTCCAAGCTGTATCTAAATTTAGGTCCCTGCCCATGGCCTGCGCAGCCTGGCAGGGCAGGGGCTGAGCAGCTGCTGGGCTGGGCACGAAGGGGCCACTGCAGGTTTGAGCTGCCTGGGCATGAAATGGTGCCAGCGAGTGCCACAGCACTGAGGGTGTCCCTGGCACCGGCTGGGCTGATCCACGGCAGCAACTCAGCTCTACAAACCCAGCAGGGAGCTGTGGCCTGGCCCAGGAGTGCTGGGGACAGCTGTGACAGGCTGGGTGGCACCTACTGCTGGGGACAGGTGACACCAGAGCTGTCCTGTGCACTCACTGCGTGCAGCACTGCTGCAGTTGCCCTTAAATCACTGCAGGGATTTTGAAATTAAATCAGGTGTTGGTGCAGCCTCTGCTTTTGGGGTGAGCTGAACACCTGGCAGTGACATTGGTTTGTCTCATGGAAACCCTGTATTAACAGCACATTTTTACTGTGGAAAAAACGTGCTCAGTGTCACCTGAAGTGACAAAGCTGGACAGGAGGGAACAGGCTGCTTCCCTGATGGAGAAATTCTGGTCAGGGTTCTAAATCATAACTGCTTTGGTTTAAAGGTTTTCTGCTTTAATTAATTTTCTCCACCCAGAGCCAGACTGGTTGGAGCAGTTAAAACTGTGCTGACTCCGGTGGCTCCTGGGGCAGGGAAGTGGGAATGTCAGACCTGAACAGAACAGGCTGTAGGGGGAAAGATGGCAACAGATCCCTAAAGCCTGAATTAACACCGAGGAGTTATTTTTGCCCTTGATTTTAGGGTGGGTTTTTCTTACTCCCTGGCTGGCAGGGTGTCCAGCTGGGATTTTCCTGCCTGGCTTTCCCAGGTCCTGTTGCAAGTCTCACTAAAGCCACACTCACTGCCTCAGCCTCTCCGTCAGCCACAGCCCAGCCCTGCCAGGATGATTTTCCCACTCTTTGCTTTCAATTCTTCCACATTTTATCTATTTTATTATTTTCCCTCTGCACTGCAGTAAGGACAAGCCATGAGTTTGGTTCTCCCTGATTTCCCACCCACATTACTGAGCTGTGACCAAACGCAGCAATGTATTAGTTGCTGATTTGTTGAGATTTTAGCCTGGTACTTTCCCTTTACACATAAAATTCCTCCAGACCTTTCCTTTTAGGCAGCACCAAGACCTGACAAGGCTCAGGCAGGCACGTCCTGATGGCCAATCCCATTTCCCACACTTTTTATGCCATCTCAGCCCCTTTGTATCATCTACCTTTTGCTTTTTATCAGACTTAAAGCTTTTCAGAACAGAATCCTTTCCCTGACACGTGACCAGTGGGGTGTCACTGAGTCTCTCCTGCCTCAGTAAGGGGGTGGTGGCTGGAACTGTGCCCTGGTGAGCCTGGCAGTGGGAATTCTGGGCTCTACCACAGCAAGCACAGCTCCAGAAAAAAAAAACTACTACCTGTGTGGAACATTTCAGCAACTGTTCACTTCCATTCCACCCCAGCTAATAACAGCACTACTTAGCACAGTAATTAATATTGGTGACTTTCACTTCTCACTCAGCTGATGAACTTACGTGGCACAAAGCCCGTGTAGGCAGGTTTCAGTCCACCACTGTTGTAGATTTTGGTGTCTGGCCAGTGTGTCAGGGGAAATCTCATGCCCAAGGTGAAAGGTGGATTTTTCTTCAAAAGCTGGAAAAGAAAAGGAAAAAAAACCCCCACAACAACATGAAACGGTTTATTTTAAAAAGTACTATTTTTACCGAAGTCATGTGCTTTGACTCTACATTACATAAAATATTTAAGCCAACATAAAGCAATTCTCTTTCCAACCCTGCTTTTTTATAATTAAAAGCCACATTGAAATCTCCCCTTTTCCACTCCATAAGTTTTTCTCCTGGCAGGTGTTGGCAGCAGCCTCTGGCAGTGCCCAGAGCGAGTCCTGGCCCAGCAAGTCCAAGTCCTAAGGATCTCTGCTGACCTTGGGCATCATCCCCAAGTCCTAAATGCCTGGTGCTTTGCTGTGAGCCAGCAGTTCCTGCTGGAGCTGGGCACACCTGTGCTGGGTTTGACCCACGAGTCCCACAAACAGCAATTAGCCTGTAATTCCCAGGCCGGGAGGAACAGGAAGGCTTAGGGAGCATAAGAAGGGAGAGTGTAAATCATCTCCTGGGAGAGTCCCTGCCCTCCGAGGGGCTGGGCAGGGGGGTGGGTGTCACAGGCACCCAAAGGTGTCCCTGGAGCTGTGCCACCCCCTCGGAGGGGGGTCACACCGTGGGGCCAGGGAGCCCTTTGTGGCTGCGGCTCCTCACAGGGCGCTGGGGAGGGAGGGGTGTTGTTGCCGGGTGCAGGCAGGGAGCAGTGATTGATCCACGGCACAGCCCCGCACGTAACCTAGGGCAACAGAGATTTAGGGCAGAAGATTAGTGGCTTGAAGTCAGAAGCCATCTTAGATGGAATTGCGGTGTGATTCTCTCTCCTTTGCGTGCCTGTTCCCTCGGTGCTGCTGAGCCAGCCTGGATTGCGCCGGATCCTGACACCTCCCTCCCTGATTTACTGCACGGCAGGAAAGGGGCAGAAAGGCTCTGCAAGCAGCACATTTACTTTGGGTGATGCCGGGGTTTGTTCTGTTCGCTCCATTCCAATCCCTGTTCACGGCAGCAGGGAAAGAGAAGGAAGCCAGAGCGGGGAAACACATCTCGGCCAAAGCACGACGTGCTCAGCTCCCTGACTCATTTCTTCCCAGCTGATTTCTCTGAGCTGGGGATGCTCAATCTTGGATGTTTTTCCTACATCAGAGGCATGACAGCGGCTCCCGGGGAGCAGGAAGGGCTGGAATGTCGTAGCCTGCTCTCAGTGAGCTCATATGTGCTCACCGGGGCTGGACCAGCGAGGCTGCTGCATCCCAGGGATCTCCCTGCATCCCAGGGATCTCCCTGCATCCCAGGGATCTCTTTGCATCCCAGGGATCTCTCTGCATCCCAGCGATCTCCCTGCATCCCAGCGATCTCCCTGCATCCCAGCGATCTCCCTGCATCCCAGCGATCTCCCTGCATCCCAGAGATCTCCCTGCATCTCGAGGGATCTCCCTGCATCCCAAGGATCTCTTTGCATCCCAGGGATCTCTTTGCATCCCAGCGATCTCCCTGCATCCCAGCGATCTCCTCGCATCCCAGGGATCTCCCTGCATCCCGGGGGCAGGAAGGGATGTGCTTTGAATACAAGCTATTAACTGCTGTGGGAGGAATCTCATTTCCCCCGTGCGGGAGGATTATGTGGCATCGTATGGGAGCTCTTACAACACACTTTTCCAGTAGGGATATTTCTCCCAAAAAAAGAAGGAGAAAGAAGATCTAGATCCCTTTAAGATAAATGATGTTAGTAAAGGAAAAAGCCTTACAACCAATTACAAGGGAGACACATTCACCCAAGCAGCACAGGAAGCCATTCCAGCACTGCCATCCAGATGGAGAAGATATATTCCATAAGGGAAGTGCAGAGAGTTGCATCCTGTATTTCTGCACTCAGAGCAACATTTTTAACAGCCACCTTTGACCCAGCCCTCAGTAGATTTGCTTAATCCTTTCATGAACTCGTTTATCCTCCCTTAATGTCCCAAGGAAACAAGTTACAGAATTTAATCACTCATGTTTTTTTCAGCATTACCCAACAGAGTTTGATTTGTACTTATAACCCACTTCTGATCCTACCACTGAAAATTCAGGTGGATCAGCATCAACACTGTGCACATTCTTATTTCAGCAATATGTGATCTACCTGGTAGTTGTCAAATTCCTTCATTGCCTTCCTCACACCTGGGATGTAGGTCAGACCAAGATTGTTGGTGAAGCAGGGGATGAATCCGGTGTAGCCTTGGGATGAAGGCAAGAGAGAACATTTTCTGCTTGAGAACACACATATCATTTAAGGATCACCCAGTCTGGAAGTGGAGGAGCCTGGGATGAATATAAAACCTCAGAGTATATGAAGGGAAATTTAATCTATTTAAATTTAAAATTAACTCTTACTCCTGAAGCATCTTCTCTGAAAGAGTTTTTTTCTTATGATTCCCAAGGAAAGCACAATGGGCTGAACTGATTTTTGTTGGTCTCCACGAGTATGGAAGAACCATTTTCTTACAGTCTTTCTTTACATCAACAGCTCTTTCATGTTCTCTCCCAGTTTAATACACATTCAGGCATTAACAGCCAGGTGTCCAACCTTTCCTCCTCATCCGCTCTGCCCATCCAACACATTTCCAGGACAGAAACTTAATAAAGTCTAAAATTACATAAAACACAGAGAGGTAGAACCTAAAAGCATCCAAAGCTCCCTCTTTCCAAAGGAATGCTTTGGAGAGGGGAAATTTGTCTTCTGCATCTTAAGGCATGGATGTTCCCTCATTTTAACTGAAATATTGTGATTCCTGTATTCCTGTGGAGTGAAATATCCCACCCACTGGCCCTCGAGGGGGAGCTCAGTCCAACACCCATCACAGTTCTTCTGCTGCACAGGAACCTTCTTCCAGAGCAAGTATAAACCTTGTAGGACAGGGTTCATACCTTTATGGTGGAGCCACACACCACTGTGGGTGGATTTGGGGATCAGAAAAACACCTTATTTCAGGGAGAGGAATAACTGCCTCAGTGGGAACAGTTGCTCAGAGCCACTGGGGTGGGACAGAGCCCACAGCCCATCTCTCCTCACTTTCTGGAGCCTGCAGGGAGCTGAGGTGGCTCCTGAAT